AGTGCATAGCGGTTTCTGCTGACACATTGTGAACGCAGAGCACAGGGTCTATGGGGAAGAATGAAAGAATCTGAGAGGAAATTCTTGTCTTTTGTACTTGAGTCTGCAAAGATTTTGAGCACGGTTGGACATCGTGCATTTTCATTTATTTGTGTATTCGCTCATTTGAGTGCGTTGATAGCCACCACATAATGAGTTCTGACTCACTCAGACAGCTATTTAAAATGCAGGATGTTGAAGTACTGAGTGGGAGGCTGACTGTGTACTCTCTTCTCTCAGGAGCTGGGTGTTGGTAGATCACCAATACAACATCTACCTCTACAGAGAGGGCGTGCTGCGCACCTCATCCGAGCCATACAACAGCTCTGATTTTCAGGATAAAACCAGCCACCTGACCAACCACTGCATCCAGAAGGAGCACTCCAAAAACTATGGCAAATATGAGGAGGGAAATGAGATGTTCTTTGAGGAGTTCCGTCAGTATTTATCAAACGCTCACAAAGTAGCTCTGGAGACTTCAATTTTACCTCAAATCAAGCAGATAATAAGGTAACTGCAGCTTTTGTGCAGCAGCATCTGAAATTAATTCAGGGCCTTTTTTTTTGCAGTTGTTCTTTTTGGGGTGAAACATTACCCCCTTATCATAGCTTCTTAAGTACCATATATCCATTTGTTTGCAAAATCCCATCTGCAGAAATAAGGAGCTGTCTGAGCCTGTATCATGTTTTAATACAAATGCTTTGAATTTGTTTCAGTATAATTAAATATGAGAGGAGTGTAGGCAGCTTCAGATGTACCGTCTGTCTTATTGACTCTTTCACTGTCATCTCGGCCCACAGGTGCTGTCTGACATGCATTGAGCCGGCGATTAGCACGAAGCACCTCTCCTACCAGAGCTTCCAGCTGTTTGGGTTTGACTTCATGGTGGACAGCGATTTGAAAGTCTGGCTGATAGAGATCAATGGAGCACCGGCTTGTGCCCAGTAAGACATCAACACGAGTCTTTCACTTCATTCCCTTTTTGTCAAGTCCAATGCCAAGTGGACCTACAGTATGAGTAATGTCCATAGTTGTTAGGTTTTATTTAAATATCTGAGTGTCATGCAGGATATGTGACAGCTGTGTTATATAAACCTATGTCTTTTCAGCTGCTGCCTTATTTTATTTATTTCATTTCCCATTGTTTGTCCTCTGGAACCTTTGCAATTTAGATTCCCCACGCTGCTCCTTAACATGGACTGTTATGATGCATAGTTTGCACAGGAATGGTTGGAGTGCTCAGCTGCAGTGCGATTCTTGTCTGAAAATTAATCGGCCTAACAAACAATGTCAGAAGTTTTCCCTTCTTTTACACATCATTCCAGTTTTGTAGAATTTAATTTTGCCCTGAAACCCTTTACTTGCTAAGTGAGCAGTGCAGAAGCTGAGTTATAACCTTCAGTCCGTCCGTCTTCCCTGTGCGCCAAAATCAAATGGAAGTGAGATAGATAATACTGTAAAAAGTCAGCTTCTACATTTAAAGTGTTTACACTGCTTAATTATCCAGTACTGCTGAGCCACTTAACAAATTGGAGAGCTTTTCACACAATAAAAAACAATTGTGCAGCTAGCTCGTGCATGTTGAACATTCAGAAAATGATGTTCTTTATGTTTTTCCTCTTTAGCATGAATATAACATAGTGTAACAAAAGACTACAAAAGCGTCTTTCGCCTGGTTTAAGTAAATTGATTTGAGATCATGGAAACTCTTTCCATAAACTCAAACAGCTGATCCCTACTCACCCTCCAGCCACACTGAGAAAAAACTGAGAACTGAAGTGTAAAAGACAAGTGTTTTCTTATGAGTAATTTCTGCATTTTACAAATTGAATTTTTAAAAGAAACAAGACAAACTGAAAGCTTGATAATGTCAAGATCTGCATGGGGTTTTAAGGATTGGTTTCTTAGTTGAACGTGTTTGGTTTTTGATTTCCAGGTCTTTAACTATTGAGGAGTAACACATAGTTTAGAAACCTGTCAAGACTGCAGAACTATTGAACTAGACGCATGTATCATACTATTTTTCCACTTTGTGTTTTTCAGGAAACTTTATCCAGAGCTCTGTCAGGGGATAGTGGATGTAGCAATCTCCAGTGTCTTCACCTTGAGTGATTCCTCTTCAAAGCAGCCAAGCCAGCAGACCACATTTATCAAGCTGTAAACAGAAGATATTGAATATTTAGTGATCAGGCATCTTTTCTTTACCCACATCATGCTCTCCTGATAACTTCAGGTTTTGCTGGTTTTAATCTGATTGGATTTTAGGGGTCCAAATTGCATAGAGAAAATCATGGAGAGGGATTTGGACTGTTCTTCAAAATGATCCTTAAGTTGTGTTGCTGCTAGTGAAGTAACGAGTATTCACAAGAACATCCCATGGAGGAAAGAGGACCTCAAGATTTTCTGTAGTCGATTGAACTAAATGAATTATCAAACTGTTGTCTGTGCTATATAAGAGTATTAACAGTCTCAAAAATAAATGTAGGAGGCCTGCATTGGAGGTGGTGAATGTCTAAAGACAGAAGTAGAACAAGATATGACAGAAATGAGCTCTTCCAAAAAATGAATGTCAGAAAAGCACTTGAAAATTGTTGGGGATTTGTGTTGATGGAATAAAAGGTATACAGTACTGCCATCAAGATTTTGAAAGACTGGTTATAAGACCGGCTTATTTTAATTTATCATTCAGCACCTGCGATTCTAGTGCCTTACATCCCTGTCCCCATATCCTAATCAAAACAGAGCTACTGTAGCCTAATGTTATTTGATGTGTAATGCAAACTAGTGTTTTGCAGGTATGGGTCATACTTTTGTTTCAGTACCACTGTGTGACATTCGGTTAACCTTCACTTGCCCTAGAATTCTAAGAAATTTTTTAAATTCCACTGATCCCAAAATTATTTTGATTGCTCTGAAGTTAAACTCCTGTTTTGATAGCCATCTTTTTAAGATCACTTTTTCCTGCATGCTTACTGTGACGCAGGTTGGAGAGGAAAACAATCATCAGCTTATAATAATGTTGAATTATCAGCTTTGTGTCCTCCCTTTACTAGATTCTGGATTTTCAGAACAAGATTTGAACAGAATCTAGCAGAACGTGCCTGGAAGAAAACCTCACCAGTGCAAACGACCCTGAAGAGACTGCGGAAGCAGTCAGTGAAGTCATTAATACATGATCAATGAAGCCTCTTAATTTCACGGACAAAGAAAAATTCCATCAATATTATGACATCCTTTAAATATATTCATCAGTAGGAAGTACTGAAGGACTTAAAAACGTGTTCCATGTCTAACTAATCTTAAGGATCAAAATTATTCAGTGGGGAAGAAGAAGAATTAATAGTAGTGTTAATAAATGAAAGATGGAAGCTTTGAGGAGGTTCTAGAGAAAATGTAACCTAGTTACTGTGCTAAGAGTCATTTATGTTGGCTTTATAGGTATTATAGGTTGATACTATTGTAGCCTCATTTTCTTTTTTTGAATAAATGCAGGAGGTACTTTTCTACCGCCTCAAGAAACAGTGTTAAGACTAGGCTATTTAGATTAGATACAAGAAGTTATGACTGCAGGCCATCATCGAACACAAAAATGTTAACCTCAAATGCTATTGCCTTTGTGTTATGACAGCTGTGGAGCAGTCAGTGCGTGAGCAGTAACACTATTTAGAATCTCATAGTCAATGAACTGGACAATGAAGGCCTTTGTTTTCCACTCCTGCTGTACATGCTGTCATGGTTACATTGAGCTCAGGTGCTTATTGCCATTCCTCATGGAAATGTTTCTTCAGGTCCCAGTTTCACGGCATTCCCTTGTACCCTGAATATCTCCCACTGGCCACAGTAACACCCATCAAACAATGTTTGGAGCCCCTGTAAGCAGCAGGAACAGGGAATGGCTACTAAAAGGAGCCACAAGGGACCCTGTCTTGGACCCATCTGCCGTTTGTGGGAGAATATCCAGTAGTTTGGCAGGTTTTCAAGCTACAGATTGTTTTTTCTTAAGAATGTGTTCTTTCTATAGTCAATTCCCTTAACTTTGTCTGACAACCTATGGATTTCAAAACAAATGAACGAGGTTTAAAAATCTGAAATTGGGAATAAATGTCAATTGTTTTATGTTTTATTAAGCAATTCAGTAAGTCTTGAAGCAATCTTAGGTTCCCGCATGAACTCTACCAGTATAAGACCACCACTGAGCAGAAGTAGTTTTGCTTTTTCTAGTATGAAGGAATTTTGATGTGATTGTTCTTTGTAGATTGTTGTTAGCACGCATGTGGGAGTGCAGGCCTAAAAGCATGTAATTTCTGTGTGTATATTTGCAACTGTTTGTCTGTTTATGTGAAGTACTCCAGTCTCGTGCTCAGTCTTAAGTAACAAAAATATTTATTTTAAGATTAGTAAAAATTCTGTGTTTTTCTATTTCCCTTTTACAATTTTAATTATGGTAGATGTTATCTCGGTCTCAACACAACATTTCCGTTTGATGTCCGAACAAAATCCATATATTAAAGATCAGTGAATTAAAATTTGTTACGAAACTCCCATGTGCTCCGGTCTACTTCAGGTGTTTTATCAAAGGTTTCTTTCAACTGTTTGTGCTCAACAGCAAATAATTTAACATGAATTTTCAGATGAATTGCACTAGGTCTTTTCTGTGGTGACTGATGTTACACTGAATTTCAAAGTAATAGTCTCGAGAGGTTTAGAAGGATAGTGCTTAATATTTTATAGGAAATACAGTGCTAAAGGTAATATTACATCCTTTTGGGACATCATGGCTTTGAATTGCATAACATTAGTCACCAAGGAATCACCCACATTTTTATGTATTAATGAGCAATTGAGGAAAAGTTTTAAATATGCTTATTGCATAATCTGTTTTTTACTTTGTTCATTCAGAATTATAAATTTGTAGCTCTATGTGCTGTGCAAGAGCAGTTTTCCTAAATGGAATGTCCTCTTGTGATATGTGGAATGTAGCCAATCTGTGTCACATTGGACCTGGTTGTTCTAAATTCTGAACTGTAACCATTTCTACCCAGTGGGCTAAATTAAATAAGAGTCTTGTTGGTAGTGATCCTTCATTATCGACTCAGATTGATTGTATTGGAAAAAATGATGTCCAATGAGATTTCCTGTGTATCTAATTTTTACATTCTGATTTTGTAATTCAAAACCATTTGGACTGTGCAAGGTTGTTCCCTGCTAAGTGGAGTAAGTTGTATTGTTGGAGGCTTTTTGAGGAAGATCTACCTCACTTTTGTTTTAATCATTTTTATATCATATTTATGTGAATCGTGACAAAAAAGTTATCCTATAGAGCTAATTCTGCACTACAACAACAATCAAAGAACCATTTCTTAAATTATCACGTGCAGGTGGAGGAGTCAGCCACATGTAGTCTGTAACTACATTTGTTGTAGTTCCAGTCCTGTAGGGCTGGTTAGAGGGGTGCTCTTTCATATGAAGTGTACAGTGGGACTTTATTGAGCAGTACAAGAAATGATTGCAGAAGACTGGAGTAAAACACATTAAATGCATGTTTTCTGATGTTACATTATCTTCAACAGAATTAATAATGTCTGAATGTGTAATCAGAATTTAACATTAAAAAAGCTGAAAGGGTATTTGTCTGTTATCTAGATATTGTACACCTTATTGTTTTGGAATATTTAAGAGTGACGTATGGAGGGGACAATCCCTGAGGAAATGTCCCTGTCTTAAGTATTTTAAACCATATACAATTCACAAACATTTCCTATTTATTAACCTTAAAGCAATGATTCACTTTTACGCTTTTCATCTCTCCTTGATTAAGAAAAATATGAAAGTGAATTCCTGGTGCTCTGGTTAGAGGGTGTGAACCAAAAGACGTCTTAGGTTATCTCTATTGAATTAACCTTATTTTTAAGGATATACAGTACCCAACACAACACTGCCATTTATCACCATTTTAGGAAAAGTTATGCTTTGATGTGATTTGTGCATACAATATGGTATTTTCTAAACACTTGCCTCTTTGGCAGAATGATCTTGTTCACAAAACTCTGTTTTTCACTGCATAACACCATTTTTATTTTCTCATGGAACACAAATGACTGGATTAAATAAGAACTTCACTCAGTAGCAACTACTTTTCTTTGGCCTCATACAGTGGAAGGAAAACCACAGTTCTAGTATCTCTGTATAAGCCATCTTGGCCCTACTTGTGACCAAAGATGATCTGTTAATTTTTGATCGTAGTTCTGAAATCAGAAAGCACATGTGAAGAACTGTACTGTATTCAGCATCCTGTTTGGGTAAAACACCAGTACACTACTGAGCAGACAATCAAGGCATTACACCTAAGTGATGATCAGTGTTTTTGATATGTAAAAATGCTGTATAACAACATCTGTGCTGTACTGTTTTGACTCTGGAGATCAACTATAAGGTTAAGTGGAGGACTACTACATTATTCTGCTATACATGCTGCCAGGTGTGTGGATATGCTGTACATATCTGGATCCCAAAAATTTTTTTCGTAGCACTTTGCTGAGGAAAACTGCAGTGATGTATGTCAGTCACATGATAAACCTTTTGAATCAGGAGTTTAAATCATACAACTGTAGTATGCTATACTGTATGTAGTATGCTGTACATAAACTGTCAATCAAATACTGTGTTATTCTCTGAAGAGATTATTGCATGGTATCTTGGCATCTGTATTTAAAACACTATCCATGAGGAATAAAATTGTGTTCTACTGACTTTCTCTCCTTGTGTTTGCTAATGTAAAGCTTTCTTTGTACAAAACAGGGAAATAATGTTTGCTACCCCTACAATATAAATGAGATATTCTATTAATTTCTCTAAAAATCTGTTTCTGTGGAGTAGGTTTATAGTCAGTCCAAAACCATCCAGCAGTTTAAAATTGTAGAGAATTCTTCACAAACCTCTTTACAAGCATTAATTTCCTTGTGGTTTGTTCGGTGAAATACACAACCAGGGTCTCAAAGTAGCACCAAATGTTGAAGAATAGAATTCAACTCCCTATCTCTGTTAATTCTCTCGGGATACATTTTGCATGAAAGGATTATGCCCTGAAGAGAATTTTAAGACATTCACTGTTCTTCAATACATTTCTTCTCTCTTTAGAAGTATGCTTCCACACATCGTGGTGTAGTTGTGTACTGTGGACTACTGTCCTTTAGTTGCTAAATGAAGGAGCAGAGGTGAGAGATATGATATACAGTGCCCTTCAAATACTGTTTCAAATGCTTGCATGGAATTACCTTAGATTAAAACTAATATGAATGATAAGATTAATATAAATCTCATGATCACAAGTACAAATAGCCTGACAATAAATCAAAAACACATTTTTATTTTGCTGTCTCAATGTTTGGAGAGCACGATATACAGTATAATATTTTGACAATACTGTGTGTGTGTGGAGGGGGGGGTAATGACATGATTGTGACAAATTGAAACATCTTTTGAGATAGGATCTTTTATATTTTATATGTGTTGAGAGCACACGTTTTTGCCCTCCACCGTTGTTCCAGTACTGTGTCCTAACCATGCTTACTGCAGTATCAGTGCCTGTCTCAGGTTTGATGGAATATAAAAAGAGAACTGGGAGTTATTATGCAATGATATGCAATGTAGCCAGCTTCTTGCACAGTTACAATAAAGTTACAGGTATAAATAAAATGATATGCCTTGTATATATTGTAGATGGATTTTTCTCTTCAGCTCACTGACAACATCTCTGCAGGGGGACTTAAACAAACAAACCTCTGGTAGGATTACAGTCACATACTACATTATACACGTGTTAGCAAAGCTCATATCACGTTCATAATCACATGACTTCAAACATACAAAGGAACAAGTAATAGTTTATTCCATGCTTAAAAAAGAAGAAGAAAACACAACGTTTCGGCAGTGGAGCCTTCTTCAGATGTGACGTGTGCATTTTCTTTCTTCTCTTTTCAGCGTGGAATAAACCTATTACTTGTTCCTTTGCAGCCTACGCTTGCTGACGCAGCTGCCCACCATGACTTCAAACATGACAAACAACGCCTAGTTGCGCTCCCAACCTTTAAACATGATGCTCCGGCGCTTGTCGCTCGTTGGACCTCTCTAAAGGTATTCAGTTTCATACAGTACGTTCATACAGCAAGGTCCATATGAACCCATTGCAGTTTTATTCTCAGATAAAGTCTAAATCCCGAAGCACACATTCTCATACTAGAGAATCGCGGGTGTCTAAGGGACCTAAGGAGATACGAGCTATGCTATAGCTCCCCGAGCAAACAGCCCTTTGGAGGACCAACAGCAAGAGCAAACCGATCGAGTCAAGGAAACTCTGTGGTGCTTCCGGCTGCTTCCGCTGCCATTAAATATGGAGTCCACGTTAGGACGGGGTGGTCCGTGCTCCGGTCCGAGTCTGAAGAACTTGACTGAACCGGGTTTCGGAGTTCCTAAAAATGAGCAGCATCCAGCTGTGCAAGAGCTTTGCCGAGCGCACATTGATTCGTTTGATCAAGCGGTCACCGACGGGCTTTGTCGTGTTGTGCAGGTTGGTGTCTGTTAGTTTCCCGTACTCCAGGTTCACGTGTTTACAGAGCTGAGTATCCCACGTGGGGCGGGCTTGTGCAAGAATGCAGTTATTTTGTTAAAAATACCACTATACAATTTAACAAACTGGTAAAGGTGTGGGCAGATGCGAGCCAGTAGCGTCATAGTCCTAAAACAATACGTTTCTGAATTACTTTTCAGGTGCTTAAAGTAAGTAGTGAATTATTTCAAGAGCTGAACAGCAATGACTGGGCAGGGTTGATAGTATTTTAATATTCCTCATTTGTGCAAAACAGTAAAATAATAGGTTGTTTATTATTAATTATAATATTAGTGCTTTTCTGGACACTCCACTCACAGCGATTTGCAGGTAATGGGGACTCCCCATCACCACCAGCGATGTGTAGCCCACATCTGGATAATGCGACGGCAGCCAAAGTGCGCCAGTACTCTCACCACACATCAGCTATCAGTGGGGAGGAGAGCAGAGTGATGAAGCCAGTTCAGAGATGGGGATGATTAGCAAGCTATGACAGGTAAAGTCAGGGGGGGAATTTGGCCAGGATACTGTCCAAAATCCCTACTCTTTTCAAGAAATGCCCTGGGATATTTAATGACCACAGAGAGTCAGGACTTCGGTTTTACGTTTCATCCAAAGGACGTCACTGTATAGTGACACAGTAGAGTGTCCCCATCACTGTTCAGGGGCATTAGGCCCACACAGACTGCAGGGTGAGCGCCCCCTACTGGTCCCGCTATCATCTCTTCCATCAGCAACCTTAGCTTTCCCTAAGCTTTGCTTTGTGTTTAACAAAGCACGTTTCTTCAGACTTCACCAAAAAAAAAAACAGCCTTGTGCATCCAGGTGCTGTTTTTATTATGTGTTTCTGATTTCCTTTTTCTTTTTTAGGCCATCCCGCCACTGGAGTTCATGTTTAAGAATGATCGTATTACCCTGGCATTTGAGGAGGTCACAATCAGCAACCCGGTGGTCACTAAGGGAACGATCTGTCGTGACCTGAGAGTTTTCCCTGCAGAATGTAGGGGTAGGCGCACCACCTACAGAGGGAAATTAGTAGTAAGTGTCACCTTGACTTGCTCTTAAAAATCACGCACATAAGGAAAAGCAATTCGTATCTCATAAAGGTGTTTTACTGTCCTTTGTAAACTTAACATAACTACGGTGAAAATTGCATTTTTCGACAACTTAACTACAAGTTAGACAACTGTAACGGCTAATTTCACTCCTCATTGCATTTAGTTAATTGATTGAACTTGTATGCAGCTGGTTCAAAATATATGGTTTTATAATAGATAATAATAATAGTTATCTTAACCATGGTGTGTTATGTGAGAGCAAACATACATAATTGCTAAAATGTTCAGTATTGAATTTATAGTAGCGATAATCAGTCAATTTTGATGATATTTACTTTTTTCTTTTGCTTTGTGTTTCAAGGCAGGTGTCAGCTGGTCAGTGAATGGCATTCCCAAAGGGATTATCAAGCAGTCTCTCGGTTGGGTGCCAATCATGGTGAAGTCCAAGCTCTGCAATTTGCACGGTCTGTCTCCAAAAGAGCTCATTGCACATCATGAGGAAGCAGAGGTTGTGAATTGCTTTATGGACATGTGAACATCTTTTGCTGCATGATCCGTTCCTTCGGTTCAGTTTCTAACATCGCCTTCTGTGTGTGACAGGAAATGGGAGGGTATTTTATCATCAATGGAATTGAGAAGGTAATTCGACTGCTGATCATGCCCAGGAGGAACTTCCCTATTGCAATGGTGAGGCCTAAATGGAAGAGCAGGGGCCAAGGTTACACACAGTACGGTAAGATTCACATGTCTGAATTTCCAAATTAGACCCTGAAAACCTTTTATTTCAAACATTTGATTTATTTTGTGTAAATGGCACGACAAGAGACTAGCAATTAGCACAATATGCAAGGGCACCAGACACAGAAGACTGAAGAAAAGGGGTAAAGGAAATAAATATCATTTTGGCCACTGCAGTGTGTTCGTGGACTTCACCACAATAGCATAGATAGTCTTTTTAAAATGTTTTAATCCTTCATTGCTGATAGGAACAATTGTTCCGTGGCACAGTGATACAGGGTGAAATTTTAGGGAGCTGTCAGTGTTGCAGACGGAGGCAATGTGACAGAATAGGATGTCACATGTTTTCTGTAGTGTGGGATAGTGGTGCAGTGTTCAGCATTGGTGCTTCGTAGCGCTGGGGTTTAACTCTGGACCTGGGATGCTACCTATGTGGTGCTATCAAGAAAATTGGCCCTGGTGTGAGTGTACATTTTTGTCTGTTTTTGCCCTACGAAGGAGTGGCATCCTGTCCAGGGTGTATCCTGCCTTGTGCCTATTGCTTGCTGGGATAGGCTCTCCTCCGACCATGAATTGGAAAAAGCAGTTGGAAAATGGATGGATGTTTTTTGTAACTTGAATTTAACATTTTGACATGTTTTCTCCCTTCAGGTGTTTCAATACGCTGTGTAAAGGAGGAACACACAGCTATTAACATGAATCTACACTATCTGGACAATGGAACGGTGATGGTGAACTTCATCTACCAGAAGGAGCTCTTCTTCATTCCTCTGGGATTTGCCTTAAAGGTGATTTTCAAGATTGAGGTCTTACGTTGTCCCAGTGGACTCAAAATATTTCCAGATTTCTTAGATCCATAGTGAATCACATCAAGGCCAGTAGCAATGTAACAACTGCATGTATGGGGAGGATACAAACTGTTTCATGAACATTCTGCACAACATAGCAATGGAATTATACACAAAATTACACAGAACCATCATGGTAACAACACTACACACCAGAGGTTCCTAGAAAGCGTGCTGCGATTTCCCGGGCTGCTGATGTAGCCTGTGGTGTGCACTGTCGTTGCCCGTGGGGAATGTATTAAGCACAGTCCTTTTTGTGTATACCACACTACGTGACCTCATGCTATCGGTTTTATGTGAAGATTATTTGAAGCGGCTTGTTAACTTTGTAGGCCCTGAATAACCTTCCTAAAAGAGGGAAGGTAAATGTGATGCCGTCTTAAAATGAGAGCGGTGCTGGCTTACCAAGGTGCTAGTGATGTTGTTCTGTCTCTTGTATGCCTAGGCGCTGGTGGAGTTTACAGATTACCAGATCTATCAAGAGCTGATCAAAGGGAGGGAGGAGAACTCTTTCTACAAGAACTGTGTGTCAGAGATGCTGCGCATGGTGATGGAGGAGGGCTGCACCACCAGGAAGCAGGTGCTGAACTACCTGGGGGAGAGGTTCCGGGTCAAGATGCTCCTGCCGGAGTGGTACTCCAATGAACAGTGCGCAGAGTTCCTTCTGGGGTACGTCCTTACTGCAGCCTGGCATTGTACCGGTACTGGAATCTGAAATCTGGAAAATGGGCCCTTACCTGGTGGCACGTGTGCATCCAGTGCTGGTTTCTTAGTCATACCGTGGTATGACTTAGCCATACTCTGTTTTCTATGTTTGTAGTTTCTTTTTCCTGCAGCAGATCCAGCTCCCACAGGGACAGGAGGGTGGCAGACGCAGTTTCATTAGGTCCACTAAAACTGGCTTTGTGCCCTTCCAGTTATCGATCGGGGAGTTTGTGATTTTTACAGTTACACACCTTTGTGTACTGGGGTGATATCTGGAGATGGGCGCACTGCAGATGCCTACGGGTCTGTGCACAGAAGTACTCACTGGTTGTCCTAGCTTAATCGATTTTGTTAAAAAAAAAAACTTATGAGAATCATGAACAATTCAGAAAAAATCTGATCTTAAAAGAGGCATTTGATGAACAGAGTTGTAGTTTAAAGAACAGACTCTGTCTCCCTTTGATGCCTTCATCGACATAACTATTTTTCTAACAGAGCCATTTAATTCCCGGCTCAGGTGTGCACCACTGGTCCCATGAACTTTGTACTACCTATAGCCTTGAATAGCGTTGTCTGTGGTACTACCTGCATTTCCTTCTTTTTGGCTGCAGGCAGTGCCTCTGCATTCACCTGAAGTCCAACGTGGAGAAGTTCTACCTGCTGTGTCTGATGACGCGAAAGCTCTTCAGCTTTGCCAAGGGAGGGTGCATGGAAGAAAACCCAGACAGCTTGATGTGTCAAGAAGTGCTTACCCCCGGCCAGCTTTACTTAATGTTTTTAAAAGTAAGCCTTTCCTTACACATGATCCTATGATCTTTCTTCCCGTCACCCTGTTCCTGTGTTTGTCTGAAAATGAGTGCTCCTTTTATTTACAGGAGAAAATGACAGCTTGGTTATATTCAGTGAAAATTACAATGGACAAAAAAGCACAGAGAGGCAACTGCACGTTGAATTCGGACAGTCTTGCGAAAATATTCAATTCAGGGTTTGACCTGACCAGACCCTTTGAGTATCTCTTGGCCACAGGAAACCTTAATTCAAAAACAGGTAAGGTGTATTACCTAATACTAGTTTTATGTGTATTAAGTGTGGTGATTACACTTTTTACATGATATGTGTTTGCTTTCAGGGCTGGGGATGCTGCAGAACTCTGGCCTGTGTGTTGTGGCCGACAAGCTGAACTTCATCCGCTACCTGTCTCACTTCCGCTGCGTGCACCGAGGAGCGGCTTTCTCCAAGATGAGGACCACGTCCGTCCGTCGGCTTCTGCCCGAGTCCTGGGGGTTCCTGTGCCCTGTCCACACCCCTGATGGAGAGCCGTGTGGGCTGATGAACCACATGACTGCCCAGTGCAAGATTGTGTCCCAGGCCCTGAGCACGACTTCCTTCCCTGCGCTGCTCTGCTCGATTGGTGAGTGTGCCTTTCAGAAGAACGTGTGGAGCTGCCCCCTTCTGCATTCAGTTTTCAGCACTTGACCGTCCACAAAGAAAGTCAAGGTGGAAGAATTTTAGGCTGTCATAAAGGTTTAATGGTCCTCAACAGGGAACAACAGCATTGGATTTACGCTGATGACTCTTGTTTAACACTGTTCGTAAAGCATCTCTGAAATTGGGCATTAAGGCCCAAGGACACTCATCTTGAAGGAGTGTTTGAAACAAATTGAGAACAGCGCTTGGCTGTCACATCATTAGCAGAATGTTGACCTTATTGCTGGACGAACTGCTATTCATAAATGTTAATGACTGCAAAATCCTATTGATGACTGCACATTGATGAATACCTCCCAAGGTCAGATATGAGCTAGTGACAAACAAAAAAATCAGATCACAAGAAAGTAATGTGAATATTGTGCTTAAAAAGTTCACCTTTCCCCCAGAAATGCAACTTTTGTGTATGGTATATGGTTTTGTCTTGTAGCTACACACTGGGATTTCGTTAAAAGGTTGTGATAAAGATTGTGTTTCATTTATCACTGTTTGGTTGTTTAATAATATCACGTGCCCCAAAACACCCTTTCCCTTACCTTGTTTCTGTTGTGCTGCCATTCTAATCATTACTCAATTTGAAACACCTGCCAATGGCAATCAAGGAACAATTCTGCTGATGATATCATCGAAAAGGAGATGGAATGCATTCTTTGAACTACGTCTGTCCATCAGATGCTTTGCAACGTACTTCTGTGAATAGAGCCCTGGGTGTCTGTATGAGTTAGTGCTGAGCTGTCTGTCTCCAGGTGTCACCCCTGTCGATGGCACTCCCAGCCAGCCCTACTCCGAATGCTACCCTGTAGTTCTGGATGGTGCCATGGTGGGCTGGGTGGAGAAGGACCTTGCGCCAGCGGTAGCCGACACCCTACGTAATTTTAAGGTAGGTTGAGTGTTCCTGTATACGTAAGGCAATATCTTTCCTTCCTTATCAAGACTGGAAGCATCACCTTACATATGGAAGTACATGAAAGCTGTCTAAGGACCTAGCTTCTGTTTGTCATGGGAAATGTTGAACTTTTCTTTTAAAATGAGATACATGGGTAATGGAGAAAGAGTTTGTTGAGACGGAAATTCGAATTCAGCCATGGCTGCCTGCTGTTTTGGTGGATGAGGCCCGGCAGTGTCCTGCAGTCTGGAAGAGGTTTGTCTGATGGTTGTCTGCCCACTGTGCAGGTGTTGAAGGAGAAGAGGGTGCCTCCCTGGACAGAAATTGTCCTGGTGCCCATGACGGGCAAGGCCAGCATCTACCCTGGGCTGCTCATCTTCACCACGCCCTGCCGCATGGTGAGGCCAGTCCGCAACCTGGCCCTGGGGAAGGAGGAGCTGATTGGCACCTTTGAACAGGTACAGCACAGGGCCAGACAGAGCTGCTCTGCGCACATCAGCTTCTTGATACCGTTAGACAAGGGCATGCAGAGTTTAAGCACAAAAGGGATTTACTATAGGTAGCTGTGCTGCAGTCTTAAGCTGAGTTGTGGGGAAAAAATAATTATTTAAAATATTTATTTAATGTGGACTTTCTCCTGCAACAAAGTCTTGTCTTTTCTGTTTTTTAGCATCAAATGTAACTTTGCAGCTAGTGCATCTTGACACAAATTTTCACTTGAACCTCTATAGTTTCACAGACGGCGATTAGCTGTAGTCTTAGGCCTGATTACCTAAAATAACATATGCTGTCCAGGATTAATGGTAATGCAATTAATGGTAGGTTCTGTGAAATCACTAGACAATCTCATAATCTTTCGAGTACTGATGTTTTAAAGTTTGTAATTAAGGTTACATTATGTATGTTCTGTTTCTGGGATGTTGTGATTCATATAGCAGCTTAACTAAACAGGTGTAACTGAAACATGTACTTATCTTTTGTCCTAGCTGTACACAGACATTGGGATATTTGAAGGTGAGCTTGTGCCTGGAGTGACAACACATCAGGAGCTGTTTCCTCACAGCATGCTGAGTGTGGTGGCCAACTTCATTCCTTACTCTGACCACAACCAAAGTCCTAGGAACATGTACCAGTGCCAGATGGGTAAGACAGCCTTTAGTCATTTACACATTTGGCTTTGCCAGACACACAGTGGCAGGTTTTAAGTGATGTAATTTATGCCTTTTTGAGAGCACTTTAAGTTTTCAGATTGCACAACTTTGGGGAATTATATATTATTGCTGGACTAAATACTGTGTGTTACTTAATGCTGAAATGCTTGTGGCCAAGGAAACAATAAACCTGAACATTAAAAGTGTTTTTAATAAAAGACTATTGTGTATTTAGTAGGTTTTAGTAGTGAGAGGGTTTTGGTCAGGAATGGTGTATTAGGCCAAACTTGAGTAATGTGTGCATTATATGTATCCTATCTTCCCAGGCAAACAGACCATGGGCTTTCCCTTGCATTCGTTCCAGGAGCGGTCTGATAATAAGCTTTACCGCATTCAGACTCCCCAGAGCCCTCTAGTCAGGCCCTCCATGTATGATTACTACAACATGGACAACTACCCCATTGGGACTAACGCTATAGTGGCTGTCATTTCCTATACTGGGTATGACATGGAAGACGCAATGGTAAGCTGATGGACCAGAACGGCCTTTTGTGTTTAAATCCAAGTAATTTCATAATTGCATTTTATGAAAAAAGTGTTTGAAACATTCTGTCCTTACAGTTAACATATCTTACAGTACAGCGTGTTTTGCCTAGTGGACGTGTATCTGTGGTGAGCATTTTAAGCAGGATTTTCCTTCTGTCCAAGACTTTCTCTTACAAGAAAGATGTCTGAAAAACAGTGCAGTCTTATCGGAGCGTGGCTTGGAGAGAGACCTCACGCTTGCCACTGTTTTCTACCACTATGCCTATAGCAACTACCACTTGCTCATTCTTTGTGATGCAGATTGTGAACAAGGCCTCATGGGAGAGAGGATTTGCTCATGGCTGTATTTACAAGACTGAGCTAATAGACCTGGATGAGAAGGTCAAGGGGGGGGAGAACTCCCTGGTGTTTGGAGTGAAGCCTGGAGATCCGAAGGTGATGCAGAAACTAGACGATGACGGCCTCCCACCAGTTGGGGCAGTATTGCAATATGGAGACCCTTTCTACAGCTACATCAACATCAACACTGGCCAGAGCTTTGTTAATTTTTACAAGTAAGTTGTCGAACAGAATTTAAAGCAGAAACACGTTAGCCTGTGTGATCCCCCAAAGTGCGTGGAAGGAATTCTATCAAGATTATATAAGCAACCAAAGTAGTTACTTGATTTGCAGTTGTGAGTATGAAGCATTTCTTCATTGTTTTTTTAACTTAAAAATAATGCTTAAGTTGAATAGTACTGGACAGGTTTTCACAATATGCATTATTATTCAACATTGTTTCACACAAAACCACTTTAACCAGAATCCCAATTTCCTCTTACCTAGGAGTAAAGAAAGTTGTGTGGTGGACAATATAAAAGTCTGCAGCAATGACACGGGCACGGGGAAGTTTAAGCGCGTCTGCATCACCGTCAGAGTCCCTCGCAACCCCACCATTGGGGACAAATTTGCCAGCCGGCATGGGCAGAAGGGCATCCTGAGCCGGCTGTGGCCCACAGAGGACATGCCCTTCACCGAGAGCGGCATGGTGCCCGACATCCTCTTCAACCCCCATGGCTTCCCCTCCCGTATGACCATCGGCATGCTGATCGAGAGCATGGCGGGCAAGTCCGCGGCCATGCACGGCCTGTGCCACGACGCCACGCCCTTCACCTTCTCCGAGGAGCACTCGGCCCTGCAGCACTTCGGAGAGATGCTGAAGGCGGCCGGTTACAACTACTATGGGACAGAGCGGATGTACAGTGGGTTAAGCGGCTTGGAGCTGGAGGCCGACATCTTCATCGGGGTGGTCTACTACCAGAGGCTGCGGCACATGGTCTCGGATAAATTCCAGGTGAGGACTACGGGCGCCAGGGACAAGGTCACCAACCAGCCAGTTGGCGGCAGGAACATCCAGGGGGGCATCCGCTTCGGGGAGATGGAGCGGGATGCCCTCCTTGCCCATGGGACTTCCTTCCTGCTCCATGACCGCCTCTTCAACTGCTCGGACCGCTCGGTGGCCCAGGTGTGTCTGGATTGTGGCAACCTGCTGTCCCCTCTGCTGGAGAAGCCCCCACCCTCCTGGTCTGCCACCCGCCAGAGGAAGACGGTCTGCGCTCTCTGCAAGAAGAGCGATTCCATCGATGTTGTCTCCATTCCTTATGTCTTCCGCTACTTCATAGCCGAGCTGGCTGCCATGAATATTAAGGTCAAACTGGACATTAAGTAGCCCGTCCACTTTTGAAGTACTCAGAATGGAGGCTGTGGAGGAAACGAGGCCTGTGGCTACTTTTTAAAGGATTTAAACCTATTTAACTGGGATATGAAATCATGTGAAATACCTTAGCCCAGTCAATGAAGCATGGCTTTCCTAGTGTATATACGAGACTGACACGTAATCTGTTTGCTGTAATATATTATTTTTATTTTTGAATCAAAGTATATTCTGTGATAATATACTTTCTATTTAATAACCTTGTTAACACAGTTTGATCTCATCAGCATCCTCCAAAGTAGAGCAACACAGTTTCTGTATTGTGATAAAAAGGTGGAATGAACAGTGTGTTGTGAAAAACAGAATAAAGCAAACTTCACCTACTTCAGTCACAGTTATATATTCCAGTGCTGGAACGGCTTTTGCTACAGGCTTGTTCCTTCTCTCTAGATGAGATGCTGCCATGAGCTAATCATTTGTAATCTGCTGCAAAAAGCAGGTTGCTCAGTTTTAACTTAACCTGTGCCCTACAACTAGTGTACTTTTGACAAATTATATAGTATGCTGAAAATTAGCACTAAAGATTCTAAAATGGAGTATATTCCTGAATATGCAGTTAAAAGATTTTCAAGGCATGCCACAGTAACCGTTGAGAAAAACACAGTTCTTTCAGTGAAAATGGGAGCAAGAGTGAGGTGGTACCCGCTGGGGATGTGTAAGAGAGGGAAGAAGCAAAAGATATGTTTGCAGCTTTTGAATTTAATATTGATTTCAGAAAAAAATAATTGCCAATAAAATTATTCAAGTTTAAGACTTTCTTGCATACAATTTTTCTTAAGTGAACCCTGTAATGCTGTACAATCTACAATCCTAATCCATTCAATTTTATATACTAAAAATATTTGTAGTGTCAAATATCCCAACATTTTTGTTTCTTTTTATTGCTTTCCAAAAGTGCCTAAAAACAATAAATGTGTTTTTATAACCTTTTCATAATGTCTTAGACCTCAGTTGGACCATTTACCCCTTACCTGTACTCATATTTCTTATCCATTAGACAGGTCTCAATCCAACAGCTTGAATGCATTATTGAATTAATATTTTGATTTTTGTTTCAAAACTCAAGTTAAACCAATTTCATATCTTCCAGGATTCGGGGTAGTTCAAGCACTGTTGCAATGGTATAGTCTGGCGTAACTGCAGAGGCAGGTCTGTCGTTGGCGCTTACCCACACAGTGGCTCTGACCCCTGCAGTGCTGCCGCCTTGAATGTCCGTGTCCAGGGAATCTCCCACCATTATGCATTCAGAAGGCTTCACTGCCAGAATATCAAAGCAGTGGAGGAAGATGGAAAGCGCAGGCTTCTGTTCGGGATGCTCTCCGCCTACTACCACGGCATCGAACAGGTCGCCACACTGCACGGCCTCGATCTTCTCTCTCTGCGTCTGCGAGTCGCCGTTCGTCAGTAAAAGCAGTTTGTACTTCTTCCGCAGCTCCTCCAGCGTGCCTCGGACCGGGTCCGGTACTGCCAAGTGCTGCAAGCGCGTTGTTTTCCAGAGCTCGTAACACGCAGGCGCTAATGTGGAACTGGGACTCGTACCTTTGATTTCGCGTATAGCTTGATCCCAGTATGACGTTCTTACGTCGTCGATAGAGCTCACGGTAGGGTCGAATGATTCGTGCAGTAGCTTCAGTTTAAATCTGTCGCAGATTTCACCGATGTGGTCTTCATGGCCAAACGTATCCTTCAGGAGACGATGAACCTGTTTCAAATGGAGAGTGTTAACACGGCGAAAACTTTCTAAACGTGCCAACGGACATGCGAAGATCAGAAGTCGAGAAAAGGAAGGACATACGATGTCGCCCTAAGAAAGCGAATTCATCTCCTTGCGCCAATGCATCAATTGCAACGAAGTTGCGTATTTAGCATGGAGTTGTGGACTAAGATCAGTACTAGCTAGTACCGCACTACTGCAGGACCATTCCCAGCTGCCTGATCAAATGCGACAAAAAAAAGAACTGCAGGAACAAAGTCGGAGATCGGCCGATCCCGTTCTTAGTAAGGTGATACGGGTTAAGCTGTTGTTCTACTAAGCAGAAATTAAAAGGGTCTCGGATTCAGAATATCTGAATTATTCTAACTGGGCCAATAATTATATATATTTCAAATATTTTGCCTATCATATCAATCTAAAGTCGAATGCTCCTGATAATTTAATGAGTTTGTTTTTAATAAAAATTGAGATATGCTACAATTCTTCAGATGAGAGCGTGTAATTGGCTAAGCGATGTTATATCAATTTCAATGCACTAAGTGACGAGTACAGCTGCTGTGGGGTATCACAGAGGCTGTAATTCTCTATGATAGGCCACATTTATATGTACGGGCTACGATACAGCTGAGGTAAACCTCGTGACCTTCATGTGCTACATTTGATGAACACTACCTGTTAGTGTTTCCTCTTTATCTGTGTCTGATGTCTGTGGGCCTTGACAGTTCAGGGCAGATATTACAGTTCTGTTGAATAATGATGCTGGTTTTCCGCAAGTTAAGCTACCGGACCCCCGACTACAATCCAAGGAAAGACAGGGGCACCCATTAAGCCCTAAATTCTCGTCGCTGTCACCGCATCCCCTCACACATACAGAGTTGTGTTTCACAGTAACAGAGCCTCGAACAAGCGGGGTTTTTAAAACAGCGTTTCGTTTGTCTCTCATTTGGTCTGAGTAAGAGCCAGAAGCATCTCCGTGCTGTGTGCTGTCCTCCACAAGCTTGCTATATGTTTGGACCGGGAAGAACCACCTGGCCCGTTTCCAAGACGTTCAACACACTGGCTGTTTCGACACCGTCATCACTGGACCACAGCCGCAGGAGAACCGGTCATAAATGATCACTTCTGAGAAGACTCCAATAAGAACATTTAACTTAATAAAGCCTTAGATTTAAAAACAAAAAAATATGTTTTACCTACTTAAACCCTATTTCTTAATATCCCTGCTGCCGTCTAACCGCTTTCTTCCAGAGTAATTCACCTTTTATTATATATCTATCTGCCTGTAGCAGACTACAAGCTCTGCGTGCACTACTAGGTGTCAAAGAGAGGCCACCTTCCCTCATGATTAGAACATCAGACACAGGTTTATTGTGCTGTGGAAGGAGTACAATTGTTGTTGAATATTACAATAAAGTTCCCAGCGAAGAACGCTAAAACCATTACGTGTTAACGTAATAAACTGCTCCTACATGCCATCCTGTGCTCCGCCTAGTACGGTACTAAATTGCACAGTCCGCAGCCAGAGCTGTACTAACTTCAGTCCTGCACTTTGCTGTCCTCTAGGGCAGCAGCTGTTAACTTTGGGTCTGCTGCAATTCGGGACATTTCTAGTATTGACATTAAAGCGTTTTGGTATTTACCTAGCGTAGCGGAGTTGCATGCTAGGCACGGGATCACCCCGTTAGTGCTCTGCTTTCGGGTCATTTAATGAACACACTGTCCGATTGTTCTTATTGTTATTCACTTTATAAACCCACAAGCCATAAAGCCCGCAGCAAACGTGGACAAAAAAACGTTTTTTTTTTTCTATTTCCGGAAACGTGCGCTAGCCGTCTCCTATCAATGCATGCAAGCTCAAATAATCGAGCTAAACTAAGGAAATACATCAGAATTCTATAAATTGCTAAGCAAACCACTACACAATATATGACCAAATAATTAAAATACCATTACAGTAAAAACAAAAGCAGACTATTAGATTTTTGTACCACAATCTTAATCTTAAATCGCAAAAGTTGAACAGGCTGACCCCATTATATAGTGTAATTTGGTGGATAAAAGTGAATGTTAAAATGTACAATTTGCAAATCCAACTAATGACTCGTCTCATTTATTTTTATTCACTTACCTTTTGAATCGCTATTTTACCTACACCGGCTGTGTCTATGAGAGTGTTGTCCAAGTCAAACAAAATAGCCTTTAATCCATTACTCCCCATTCCTAATGCTTTGCTAATATAACACTAACAAGCAAAAACAGATACTACTGATAATAACTGCTGCTAACGTCTAAAAATGAAAAGCAAAAGCTACAATATTTACAGTAAGCCGGAAGCAAAGCGTGGCACGCTTGTAGCATGCCTTCGCAGGTGCATATGGGAAATGTAGTTCTCAGTAAAAGGGAGAAATGCGGAAGGTGAAGGTCTGCATATTATCAATACCTCTCTCCATCAATACTGAAGTGGGGTCTTTAACACACTGATCTTCTCACTTTCAGAGCGGGGTCTTTAATAATGTCTCATGTTCTTTGTGCTCTAGATCACTCCTGTTGTTTTGTCTCTTATTGCTCTGAGCATTGCATTGTGGCTAAATACACACGTCTGAGCAGGACTGAGAGACATTTTGGTATATTTCACATACATTCTTAAACTGTTTATAAGCATGCATTGTGATCAGAAAACTAAAAACTACTCTATTGTATCTAGACTGTAGGAAATACTGTCATACATTTTAAAACAATGGATAGAATGGTTAGCAGTACATAAATACGAGTTCATGATTAAGATCATGCCAGAGGAAATCAAAGCAATAATTACACATTCCTCTCTGTGTTGATCTCCAGAGTGTATTCGTCCATGCAGTGTCCTCAGCTTGCCTTCTCAGCAACCATGCTGGCTGGGCAGAAAGGGTAAATAGCCACCTGAGGTATGCTTTATGATAGCTCTTTTTCTGATGCATATCACTGTACATTACAGAAATAGTTCATTTCACAAACATATTCTGATAAAAACAAACTATGAAATGTATGTTGGCCTGCCCAAAACAATTACTAACCAACAGATGGTTTGAACTTAACATGGCACAGGAAATGACATCCTTAGTAAAGCCAACTCTTCTAATCAGCTGTGAATATCAGCCAACAAGTCAGATACTGAAATGTGCAGTGCTAGTATCACATTTAGACACTAAAAATACATGAAAATACATGCAATAGCAAAAAAGTGCTTAAAATCTTCTTGATCTCTGTGTGCACGTTTTATGTATTTCAACAATCAAATAAGAATATACGCTGAAATGCTTTATGTCCTTTGAATTTAAAGTAGAATGACAATATCCATCCATCCATCCATTTTCCAACCACTTTATCCATTATAGGGCTGCATGTCAGCTGGAGCCTATCCCAGCAATACAACAGGCACAGGACAGGGTACACCCTGGATGGGATGCCATAAGCTGGCAATATATACTCCTGAATATCTATTAAACCTTTATTTGTAACTTAATCACTTAATCAAAATCATATGATTGGAGTCCAGATCTATATTCTATATTCAATGCTGCACATTGGTGGTGGTGGAGGTTTCCCCATTACCTGTAAAGCACTTTGAGTGGAGTGTCCAGAAAAGTGCTATATAAGTATAAGAAATGATTAATTAAATTAAACTGTTTCAAGTTTTTTTTAAGTAGCAAAACTAAATCACTCCTCTCAGGAACTTTTTCTATACCCTCAGCTCCATACACACCATAAACAGCCTCCATTATTAAAGGGATTTTGCCCATTAACACACTGCACTTTGAAACCCCTGCTAAATCCTCCATTCAGCTCATGTTTGTTCCCCATCATGCTGTTTTCAGTCGAAAGATGGTCTTTGTTGATCAAATCATCAATGTCAGTTGACTTCAGTGGTTCAATTGTGGCGACACCAAGCAATGACATCAATCAATCAATGTTACCTGGTCATCTTTATATATGTTCTTTCACTTTTTGAAATACCATTTCTAAATTAATCATGCTAATAGCTACAGATCTTTGAATTCCCCTTAAGTGCTGGCCATGGGGGCCACTAAGGGTCTGAGGTACTCAAGGCTCAAATACTGCTGTCAATATGTAACCCTAAGGTCAGTAACATGAAGACAATGTTATGTTTCACTCAGGCTTATAGTAACACAGGATGCTTCTGAATTGAGAAATACAAAAACATGTTTTCAAAATCTTAAAGGTTGGAGATGATTATCACATGAAAGATACAAAGTATTCCAGAAATGAATTATGTTATCTTCGACTACAGCATCTATAAATTGATATGTCTATGACGTAAATACAGCCCTAAAAATAAATTCTTCAACTTGCATGATAAAAAACCTTTTTCGGAATGTGGTTCCCTGAAGTCCTTCTGATTAATCAGATAGGCTTTATGAAAATATTCTGAACTTAAATACTAACAAAGCTTGTATTTTACAAATACAGTACTTTATTAATGTATACTGTGTTTATAAAAGGTTTAGAAGAAGCCTAAGGAATGGAAGAAATAATTATTCATACTCAAATTTATTACTTCACTTTAATTCCTGAACTCTAAACATAAGCAATTAAAAAATATATATACTTTGTCATATATTTTGTATCTTTCTAAATGTGCTTAACTTTTAAAACTCAGTACAAAAGGTAATAATAGTTACAATAAGCACTATTCTAATATATGTATATATTGTATGTACATTGTAATATGTAACGTATAAGAGTAGATGGCTTAAGCAGTGTTTAAATGTTTTGTAGTAGTTTTGGGAGATTTAGTTTAATTCTGAAAACTGCATTTGTGTCACAAATGAAAACTTTCAACCTGTCTGTACTAACATAGGGATGCATAACATAATCCTGTCCATCCATCAATCCATTATCTATCCACATTATTCAATCCAGGGTTAGAGGGGAGCTGGCATCTATCCCGGCAAACTATAGGCGCAAGCAAGGATACACCCTGGACAGGACGCCTGTCCATTGCGGTTCTGACTGAGACGCAGACACCCACTTGCTCACACCAGGGCCAATTTTCCCAGGAGCCAGCTAACCTACCAGTATCCCATTGGACTATGGGAGGAAACTGGAGCACAAGGAGGAAACCCACACGAAAATAGAGCGAACATGCAAAATCCACTTAGAGAGAACCCAGGTCCCCAGCACAACTTGAACCGTGAGTACAAAAAATAATATGAAAGCTCCAGATGACCCCGTAAAGAACATGCACTGATGCGGTTACAAACAAATACAGGATACAAAACGGGCAATGAATAAGACATGCTGCAAACAGAATCACTAATCGCCGAGCCAAACATTGAAATATTTACGACCTCAGTTATGTCCTTTCAATCCTTTTTAATCTCTCTGCAAGCCTCTTATTTGACTTAAAGCTGAGGTACACAATGTGGTAATACTAAAGTAATTGAAAAGCCATGCACTTACTGTCTAAAGGTTTGCGTTTTAACTGCAGGCAGCAATTGAGTAAATCCGCGAGGTTCCCCCGAGTGCCACACTTCTCAGAATCTGTCTTGTAATGCTCACTAGGGGGCAGTAGCTCCCTACTTTATTGAATTAAGAAATATATTTGAACAGGGGTTTCCAGTCCTGGTCCTGGACAGGGCTGGTGTGTCTGCACGTTTTCAAATTGTCTGCAGCACCTGAAGAGATGGGAGAAGGTGAAAAATAAACATTTTGATTTGGCTTTTAAAGAGCTGATATGGAAACCAGACACTCCAGCCTTCCAGGACCAGGACCAGACAGCCTAGATCTTACTCTGTCCTGAGTTATTTGTTTGACTTTCATGGTCTTAAACACAAATAGGACCAAATTGGAACTGACTAAATCTGAAATGATCACAGTGCAGTTACCTCAAAACATACTATACAATGTTAACCCATTCATTTAATATTATGACAAACAAAACAAGCATTGCAATGCAGCCCCCAAAAAATATAGATTTAAACATTTAGAGAAAGAACATTCTTATATATCTTAAAATATCACACATACTTAACAAAAGATCTATACTGTACTCTTTAATTGTTGTGAAAATTATTATATAAGTCACTGTCCATACAAATGTTTTGTATGTCAGTTACACTTTTTAGCATTATTTTATTAAACAATAAACAGAGTAAATATAATATTGATTATATTAATCATTTGTAAGGTCTGTTTTTACTTTAATGGTGGTTACATTCAAATCTAGATTTTTTTTTTGTGGAAGTATATTTCATGTTGGAGTGTTAGAATTATTATGCATAGATACATAGAAATGTAATTGTCCTGTAAACCATTGCACATAAAAACAATTCTCCTAATATTGTGTAGATTCAGCGATTCAAATTTGGTCTTTTTATTTTTTACAGAAATGGAGGACATATATAAGAACAGTATATGTATCTATATATTACACTATATAAAAACTATTACAAATGAGACTGTTCAAACACATCTTGCTTTTTAGTTGTTTGAAGACCGATGATCCAACAATCCTACCAAGGTGTTTCTTAAAGGATCTTTCTTTCAGCTTCAGTGCCAGTTAGAGATGTTTGTTCCAGACCTTCTCTCTGTGTGTCTAAATGCTGTTTTTAAGTCCTTGTATCATCTATTTTGAGCATGTCCACTGGATTAAGTTGGTCAAGACATTTCAGGATTAAAAAAAAACGTCCTTATATGTTAATAATAATAAAAAAGTCTTTCATCTGAAATTATATAAGAGGAAAATGATATTCGAATAGGAAACTTCATATAATCTTTGATGCAGTAGAATAGCTCTGTTTCAAGATCTCTTACTACTTGAATTTTGAATTGCTGAAAAACATTTCAGGTTGTCATAGAGCCCATTTCCTGGCTGGAAGACAAGGACTGTTTGTAGTTGCCATTACTCATCACCTTAAATCATTGCCATTACTCATCACCTTAAACTTTCATTGGAATACTAAGCTCAAAGAAAATAGTTCGGCGTTCCCGGGTTTCATAGTTTGTCTTCAGTTTGTCGCTCACATTTTATTACAACCTTGCCATACCTGTGAAAAAACGTCTGACCAAATGGGTGGATTTTGAACTTGTAATAAATGTGGCTGTCTATATTAATTTAAACCTGCACCAACCATTTTGTAGCTGTGGTGAAACACAGCTGAAAGAGTTGTGCTACAGTTGAAACATAAAATGTGGCTCCATTTGAATCACTTATTTTTTAAGTAAGTGAACTTAATAGGAGACAAAATGTAAGTAAAACTGACAGCATGCAAGTCAGTAATAATGTTTTGCCAGCAGACATTGCTATTGTAATATAATAAAGCATGCATACCTCCAGATTCCATTAGCATAGTTTTCCTCGGCATTATAT